AACTCTAATTCCACACTTGGCATCATTTGGTAACTTTTTAAAACTAACTCATTATTTCAGACCCCAGTCAATACTACTAATTTTACAACTGCAGAAAAGAAAATCATAAAACTGCACTCTGTGTCTCATGCAGTGTCACTCTGTAGTCAACAAAAAAGGTATTTGCTGGATCAGTGAGTCCAGAGGGAGAAGTGATTTGCCAAATATGGCCCATTAGAGTACTAAGAATTTAGGGTTAGGTTTCAGCATTTGTTGCTGTCATTCAAGTACTAAATTTGTATTTACTTGAGGCAATGTGTACAGTTTGAATAGAAGAATCTAAAGCATGTAAGACACTTTCCTGATTTAGCTGATTTTAAGAGTTATTCTCATTGAGCTAGAATGTTTCAAAAATGGTAAAATACAACTTTTTTTGGTACTATGATAACTTTTGTTGAGGTAAAATGAGTTAGCAGATAATACTGATATTTTCTTTATCATTTTTTAAATTATCTAATTAGTTGTTTAGAAGTCACTGTTCTTGGGATTTCTGGACATAAAACATGGTCAGTGGTAGAAGACAATAAATGCTCTCAATTTACAAATGCAGATGTATGCCTAATTAGACAACAGTAGTAACATAAAAATAACAGACGATTAACATACTTTCTTTTTAAATGTATGTATCAAATCTATTAATAGCCTTAGGATGGTCTTTTATTAATAAAAGGACATAAAATTAAGGTTTTAAAATTTAGATATCTAACTAAATTAAGGCATTCAAATGAGCTAAATTTATACAAATGGGATCACATTTACAAATCTGGGAGAAATTACTTTACTTCTAAGTAAAGACGCTGCAACATCCCTGGGAAAAATTAACATTGATCTTATAGGAGGCTACTGAATAGGAAAATGAATGACAAAGTCTAGGAAATCATACTGTGGCTGAATGATTAACAGAAACGCATCTGTGAAAGTTAGAAGGAGATTCCAAGGAATGACATAGTATGTACTTATGTATTACAAAATGCAAATTATCATGACTGTACAACTGGAACTAGTTTTCAAGTGTGGGGATTATAGTTTGAGTGGTGTCTGGCGGAATACATTCTCCAACCCATCATCAAAGTGTGTCACATCCTCACTCTTTCCACCTTTGGGTTTATAGTTTAGATGCCTGTGCTATATATAAAAAGAAATGAATGTATTTTTGAGAAGCCCAAGCTCAGAAATCATAGCTTTGGTGTTCATTATACTGCTTTTTGGGGGGCAAGTCTTTATCTGTTTCAATCTTAGAAGTTTTTTTGTCTCATTCATTTGTTAATTTTAGGCTTTCCACTTTCTTTTCAACTTTATCCAGATAATTCCTTCCCCCAAAAAATTCAGTAACTATAATGAATCAATGTATGTTTTAGTAATTTCAAATGATAGGTCCACATATATAAACACTATCAAAAAAATTAATTACCCTATTTACTACCCCTCTAAAATATGATAAAGAGGGCTTACTGGTAGATCTGTTAATGATAGACGCTTTCTGTCCCACCAAAGAATGTGATTGATATAGACAAAGAGTTCCAGCACAGCTGAAATTAACAAATGCCTGACAGGTGTCTTCATCTCTGCTCCAGTGAATTCTGTGACATCTGCTTACCAGAGAGCACACATATAAGGTGTGTGAACTCACTTTGCTAGACTATGAAAATGCATTTGAAATCCAAAGAGGAAATAGAAAATGAATTTGACAACCGTATCTGAGTACCTTTCCTTGGGCTAGAGCTTCTCATATCACTAAATAAGCAAAGTAAGATATGAGTACACCAAATGACTCATACTATTTCTTCACTTCTATAAAATGGAATCCTCTATCTCTCAAACATTTAAAGATTACTGCTGCTTATTTATTAATTGATTTTTTTCTTCATGGTCTGCACATTCATCACAAAAATGTCTAGTAAGAGCAATGCTTGCTAAAATTTTTAAATGAATATTCCTTTTAACAATGATACTGATTTATGATCTTTAAAAAATGATACTGTTCCTTGAAAACACGTATTTGATCTTTAAAAAGAATTTGAAGGAAAAAGTTTATATCAACAAAAATGCTATTATAAATTCATGAAGATTTCCAAATATAATTTATTAGTAACAACAGCATTGACGTACAGTTGGAAAACTGCGAAAATTATTATGAGTAAGACAATTTAGGTGGGAAAAAAATAAATAAGACATAGCATCTGCACTTTACATACTACAGTGTATTAAATAAAAGAGTTCTGTAGATAAGTGTTAATTAATGCAACTCTATTCCCGGGGACTAGACACTGTAGAACATAGTATTTGTTCAATAAATCATTTTTGAATGAATAATCATTTCTATTGAACTGACATAGCCCATCTATCCCTGATAGATTAGCCTTCTAAAATATCTAGAAGATATTCCTCCTTCAATAATCTTCAATGGCTCCCCATTTCCATCAGAATAAAACATATCCCTTGCATTAAAAGGACTCCACAACCCAGCTTGTACTTTTTTTTTTTTTTGAGACTGAGTCTCACTTTGTCACCCAGACTGGAGTGCAGTGAACGATCTCAGCTCACTGCAACCTCCACTTCCCAGGTTCAAGCGATTCTTGAGCCTCAGCCTTCTGAGTAGCTGGAATTACAGGCGCCTGCCACCATGAGTGGCTAACTTTTTTATTTTTAGTAGAGGCAGGGTTTCACCATGTTGGCCAGGCTGGTCTCGAACTCCTGACCTCAAGTGGTCTGCCACCTCAGCCTCCCAAACTGCTGGAATTACAGGCGTGAGCCTCAGCACCTGGCCTTTCCTTTTACTTTCTTTTTGTCTCTTCTCATATTCCCTTATGCAAGGCAGCACAACAGAGTGAAAAGAACAATGCTTTTGAGATCAGAATGGCTGCTGGGACAGTATAGCAAACTTGACTTACTAATGTATGATACTTTGTATGACATTGGAATATATGCAACTCTTTGAACCTCTCCTTTTACTAAATAAAGGTAATGAATACCTGAGGGAAGTTGTAAACATAAGAATAATAAAGATGCACTTAGCACATATGGCACAGAACAGATGCAGGGCATGTACTCTGACACTGTTGAGATAACTTTCTCTCTTTTTTCAATCAAGTTGTATACGTTCTACTTTTGCTTATAGTGTTTTCTTCCTTCTAACCTCGGACTGGAAAATTCACCCTATTATACTTGGACCTAAATCCTATTCCATCCTGTAAGTCAAATCGAAAGCTACCATTTTAGATAAGCACCATATCCAAGTACCAGGCAGTTGTGAACACAGCGTAGTCAACTAATTACAGATGATCCCAAGGAGTTTTATGTACACAGAGAAGACCATATAAGGCACTTTTAAGCTACCAACCAAGCTTCAAAGATACTAAAGCTTTAAGAGAAAAGACTTGATGGGGAGGATGGCAAACAGACAACATGGTTGACTTCATAAATGTCATAGCTTCTGTGAAGGCTCTGTGACCTCATGAGCCCAGAGTTGTTACTTTTTTTTGCATTCATTATTGAACTATTGTACATAGCTGTGAGGCACACACAGCTTTGAAATATTAATGATTTCTCTGGCTATATCTATGAGTTTCCCAGCTTGTAATTACTTGAGAACAAATAAAAGGCCAAAATCCGTAGTCTCTCTATCAGTGCCTTCTACATGGTAGGTATTCAACAAACATTTGAGTGACTATTACTTGTTGATTATCAGATAATGAAAGTCTTGTGACTTTTTTTTTCAATTAATGTTAGTACATTTTAAAATGTTGTTTTCTGCAAGTCATGCAAGCCAAATATAAGTGGATGTAAATAATTCTGAATGCACCTTACAGAGTTCCCCAGTTTTTTAAAGGTCTGTTTCTTCTGGTAGCCTCTTAATTCAGGAAACTGAAATATGAAGAAGTAAAGTGTGGTACCCAAGATGATGCAAGCACTGGCAAAAGCAGAAACTAGCTACTGTTAGGTTCTCCTATTCAGTGGTTCTCAACCTTGGCTACATATTAAAATCATCTAGGTAGATTCTTAAAAATACCAATGTCAGGCCAATTATCCGAATCTCTAGGGTAGGGCCGAGGCATTCATAACTTTTTTAAATTCTCCAGGAGATTCAAATATGTATCTGTTGTATAAAGCCATTGCACCTCTCGTAATTCCAATGAACAATGTGATTGCTAAGAGTTCCTGAGAAAATCATTGCCTAAGGTCTCTTCTGCACACTGTTGTTTTCTGGGTTTTAAATACAGTCATGCAACACGTAATGATAGGGATACATTCTGAGATATGCATTGCTAGGCGATTTTGTCATTGTGCAAACATCCTAGAGTGTGCTTATACAAACCTAGATAGTATAGCCTACTACACATCTAAGTTGTATGGTATAGCCTATTGCTCCTAGGCTGCAAACAACATGCTACCCTACTGAATACTGTAGGTAACTGTAACACAATGATAAGTGTCTGTATATCTAAACATACATCAACACAGAAAGCTACAGAAAAACAGAGTATCATAATCTCATGGGACCACTGCCATATATGTGGCCCATCATTGAACAAAATGTCATTATTTGGTGAATGTATTTGAAACTGTGACTCTTTACCTCTTAAACTATTACACTTACTTTTCCCCTGAGTAGCATGCTTTAGATAAATCTCTAAATAATAGTTCCTCTGATTTCTTCAGAAACATAAACACACATGCACAATTTTAGTAGGAAAAAAGTGCTCTGCTTTATTACAAGAAAAGGTATGTTTGTGTGATTTGAGACTTTTATGATATCTGCTTAGGTTGTGTAAGGGAGGCCCTAAAATATACCTTTTCATCCTTTCCTTATGAATCAATCCATCATAGCAGTTTATCTAATCCATGTTTTTATTAAATATTGTTTATCACTTCTGTACTGCTATCTATCCAACATCTTTCATTCTGATTGGCTTAGCCTTAAGAAAAAACTAATGCATGTTAACAGGCAGTAGAAAAATTACCTCTTTCATGAGCTCAGTGGTCTGAAGGTGCACGCTACATCGGGGTGGCTGATGCCAGGTGTCTGGCTTGCGACACTTAGGAAGTCCCTCACACCTGTCAAGGGAGGCAGACTGCAAGAGAGAAGGTGAGTCTGACTGAGCAGGCGCATAAGGGCAAACCCTGCTCCCAACTGCTGCTAGCAGAGCTCTAAAAATAAAGCGACAAAAGCACAGGGAAGGCAGAATGAATTCTTAACACTTGTACTCTTCTATTTCTGTCTGTTACGAAGCAGGTGATCTCAGTACCAAGCGATGAGTCTTTTAACTTTCTATATACCTCACTTTCAGAAATGATCCTCATGACTGCATTCATTCCAGCTGTTTCAAATTCATAATCATAAAAAGAATCTTTTTTAATCTTTCAAGACTGCCCTCTCTCTCATAGGATTACATTCTAAAATAAGCTTCTTTGATATTCATTTGCCTATTTTACTTTGAAGATTTTTTTCACATGTATTACTCTGGAAAACAAAATGTTTATTCCATTAATACTTTACATATTCTTTGAAGGAAGCAAGAGTTTTAAAAGCTATTCCTTTATCTAGAGAGATGGCAGTCTAAATGTCTTCCAGGTAACAATCACTAGTCTAGAGAAAGTGAAACTATGAACTTGTTAACAACATCTTTTAATGGCCCTCCAAGTAAGGCCATATTTATTATAAATGTTATTTTAAATACTCTGGTGCCTGAGCAGCTCTGCATGAGAGGGAAATGCAATGTACTGGTTGAGAGAAAGTTTGAAATCAGATAGACCTGAGTTACAGCCCTGCCCACTATTACTGCCTATATAGTTCAGAACAGGTGATTTAACTGCTCAATACTTCAGTGTCTTCATTTATAAAAAAGAGAAAATAATGTCTTTCCCTGTTTTATAGAATTGAGATCAGAATTAAATAATATAAGCAAAATACTACCATACTGCTTGGTATCTAGCACTCAATAGATGCCACCAATTATTATTATTGCTAACAACAATCTTTAGTCAAATAAACAGCTGATGGTTCAAAAGATAAAGAAGTAATATTATTTGAAATATGTTGCTGACATTTTAAAATAAGCACCTACATGTACATCCAAGAATCCAAACCCTCAAAATCTTTTCTCCATAATGGTATGTGGACATCTTGCCTCTTCCCATTCTTTCTGGCATATGGAGCAGAAGAGCTAGAAGTAGAAAATATCTTGGGGAATTTTTCCTGAGTAGTAGTCTTCACTGCAGACACTTCTGCATTTTAATGCATTTCTCACAACAGGTATGCACAGGACATGTCTACATTTGCTGAGAAGTAAAAAAAAAAAAAAAAAAAAAAAAAATTCACAGCAATTGAGAGTACCTCAAGATGCTAAACTCCTTACCTCAAGCCAAACGAAAACTAAATCTCTCTCTCTCTCTCTCTCTCTCTCTCTCACACACACACACACACACACACACACACACACACACACTCTCTCTCCATTATCTGGATTTGCAAATCCTCAAAAAATCCTCTTTCATAATTCATCATTACCACTTCACCTAAATCTCAAATGGTGCTACTGAGCTGCCATCCACGTAGGTGTCACCAAATACATGACAAGTCATTTTTAAATATAAACTTTGAACAAGACACCAGTGAAGTACTTCAAAACATCATGTATACAATAAATATATACAATGTTATCTGTGCATTAAAAACACAAACACAAAACAGGCCACATCTCACAGGTATTTGTATCTAGACACTTGATCAGTCTTCCAGAAACTGTTCAGGGCTTCACTTACACATCTGTAACTCTGTTCAAAGCTATCAGTGCTTGTAACTCTTGTTGTTGCTGTTTGTTTGTTTGTTTTGAGACAGAGCCTTGCTCTGTCACCCAGGCTGGAGTGCGAAGACACAACCTCAGCTTACTGCAACCTTCACCTCCAGGTGAATCTTTTTATGATTATGAATTTCAAGCGATTCTCCTGCCTCAGCCTCCCAAGTAGCTGAGATTACAGGCAGGCACCACTAGTCCAGCTAATTTTTTGTATCTTTAGTAGAGATGGGGTTTCACCATGTTGGCCAGGCTGGTCTCGAACTCCTGACCTCAAGTAATCTGCCCACCTCAGCCTCCCAAAGTGCTGGGATTATAGGCGTGAGCCACTGTGCCCAGCCTAGTGCTTGTAACTATTTAAACCATTTTCTCTGATTTGGTTCTCAAAGAACATGGAAATCATTTCTTAGTCTCTTGGTAACTACTCAGTTTATTTCTGAAAAATATACCAAGAATTGATGATTTTCTAATCAGAAAATATCATGATCTGATCAGAAAATCATCAATTATTGTTATAAATGGGGAAAATTATGCCGAAATCTATGTTAAAAAGTACTTGATATTCAAAAAGTCTATTTAGAGTGAACATTATACATCTCCCTTGAGATTATCAAAACATTGTGTTAAATTCAGAATTAATTCAGAATTAACAACAGAAACATTTCCTGTTATTTCTGTCAAATGACAAAAGGAGAAAGCTCTAAAGTGTTTATAAGCCATTCAAGTAAGCATTAACAGTTGTTAAAAGTGAAGTATTTAGTTTGCTAAATTCTCTTAACTGTAGTAATTTAATCTTAAAAATTAGAGAAGTATTATTTGAATGAGTCCTACATCTACATATTGTTTCTGTTTTCATGTCACACAGATTTTGATAGACTACCTCAGTATTTCTCACATAACATTTCCAAGTAGTTCTTACTTGAACATTTCTTAGTCAATCACTTTTAATCTTTCATATTTTGCCTGAGGAACAATTTTTATATATCTGTGCAAAAGAAACTTTGTATTAATTTATTAATTTTTCATCTCTAATATTTAACATTTGCTCAAGGAAAATGGGTCATCAGCAAGTTTATTTCTACTCATGCCCTGGTTTCTCTGCCAAAGAATTGTTGTGTCTGCATTTTCAGGCCAGGGCTGTGAAGTGCCTCTTCAGAGTCTTCCCACCTCTGCCTGGCTGCAGAGCTTCACCCTCGTGACCCACATCTCCCTAGGGAGCCCCAGGACAATGGCTGACATTGAGTTTGGCTCTCAAGCCCTACCATTCCTTAGGAAAATAAATGGACTTGTTCTATTATTCATACCTGGCAGAAAAACATTTGTTGAGATATTACCATTCTTTCCCAAATGGCACCATTATAAACAGTAAGTCTTAATTGCAGTCAAATCTTTTGTAAAGACAAAGTAATTTAGGAAAATATAAAGCTTTTAAGGTGGTAGATATAAATACTTAATGTGTTAATTATTGTTAAAATGAGCCTATAAATGATCTGAGAAACGACCTTTTTCTATTGGCTTTGTTTCTTCAGAGATTAATACACTGCTTGAACTATGATGGGAAATGCTTATTAAATTATTTGATTAATATATATATACACACACATACATATATAAACTCAATACAGAATATAATATATATAAAATGAAAATATACCTTGAATTATTTCATTAATGATACACAATCCTGAAAAACATTTACAAATTACTTTATATCTGTCAAAAGTTTAACTAATGAAGTACTAGAATAATAATCTGAGATGTAATAATAATACAGTCAAAATTTTATTTGGTTGGTCAACAAATAAACCTGGAGGCTATTTATGGAGCAAAATCAGAGCATGCAATTACTGGTGTCTGCACTTCATCACTTCTAATGATGTCCAAACTTCATTTCAAATACAAGATGAGCTCAGAAAAAGCAGTCCTCAAGCAGCCCATTCACCAACCTAAAGGCAAGATTAATGCTATAAAAATCCAACATGATGGCTTAGTGAAGAAGATGAATAGACTGATATCACATGTAAATACTGTGCTCTACAGTCTTCAAAGTATTCACATATACATTGCCTCATTTGAAAGTCACCACGACACATGGTACTAGAGAAGAGAGTGAATTTGAATGCATTTTACTGATGAGGAATGGAGACTCAGAGACGTTTATTGCTGTACCCAAGGACCCCTGGCTAGTATGAAATGCCATAATCACATCTGACCCCACACACATATTACAGAACTGGTTAAAGAAACATGAAACAAACATGGCAAAAGAAATAAATAGAGGGAAGACCTACTAAACATAACTATGGACAATAATCTATTACATACTAACTTGTGGGAAGCAAGAGTAGCAATGAATATTAAAAGCATGTATAAAAGCATTCCATCCAGGGAGGCCAGGCTGAACATAGTATCAAGTCCTGAAAGAGAAGACACACTATACTGATTCAGCCTACAAGTAATTCTGATCCATTCTGAGGAGGTGTATGTGTTCAGAATGTTTATTGTAAAAATGTCTTCTTCAAGAAGTTGAACTTAACACTCAACAGCCAGCACTAACAGCACAAAGTGAGCCTGGCCTTTAATTCTACATGTCCACACACCCTAGAAGTGTACACCTCTGTAAAAGCAGTCTTAGTGCACTGGTTATAGGTACTCATTCATATTTATAATCACATCATTATCATTCTAACAATGCACATATTAACAAATTCATATTATCTTAACTTAAAATGTACCAAAATAGAAGGTACTATTCTCACAATACCTTATTTAGAGGAAGAAGAAAAAACAGCTTTCTAAATTAGCTCCCTTTTTCATTAAACAAATCTTTAAAAATCTAAAGTTTCTCTTTATTTCTTGGGAAATCTGTCTGGCAAGAATCATCCTATTCACCCATCACACATTTTCCAAACCTGGAGCAGATCCCCTGTGGTTGCACCACAGAAGAGTACAGGAAGGCACATCAGATACAAATCTCTTTGTCCAAGAATGCAAGAAAAATTCCCTAGGCATGAAGTCTTCAAGTTGCATAAAATTACCTGAAATTGGCCCGGCGCGGTGGCTCACACGTGTAATCCCAGCACTTTCGGAAGCCAAGACGGGCAGATCGCCTGAGATCAGGAGTTTGCAACCAGCCTGGCCAACATGATGAAACCCCATCTCTAATAAAAATACAAAAATTAGCTGGGCGTAGTGGTGGGAGCCTGTAGTCCCAGCTATTCAGGAGGCTGGGGCAGGAAAATAGCTTGAACCCAGGAGGCGTTGCAGTGAGCTGAGATCACGCCATTGCACTCTAGCCTCGGTGACAAGAGCCACATCACCTCAAAAAAAAAAAAAGAAAAAGAAAAAGAAAAAAATACCGAAATTTTGATCTGGTAGGACTTAATAAATGGGCAACATTGCATGTACTCTCACTCTGGTCGGGTAGGTTATGTATGGCTCTTACCCACTCATAGTCTGTGTGCCACATAAGACTTTGAATTTTGTATTTAGGTTAATGCACTATTTTTTTTTTTAAATCAGGCTTATTTGCTTTAGATTTAGATTAATCTTAATTTATTAATGTATATTTTCTTATAAGAGAAAAAATGCCCAGAAGAAAAGCAAGATGGATGAATCAGTGTGTATAGATCATTATGTGTACACACAGCCAGTAAAAAATCATATCTGGGAATCCAAACACAGGAAAGATTCAATACTAAATACTCTAAAGGAATTATTTTTTAATAATATCTCACTTAGGCCAGGCGAGGTGGCTTACACCTGTAATCCCAGCTCTTTGGGAGGCCGAGGCGGATGGTTTGCTTGAGGTCAGGAATTCAAGACCAGTCTGACCAACATGGTGAAACCCCGTCTCTACTAAAAATACAAAAATTAGCTGGGCGTGACAGCAGGCACCTATAATCCCAGCTACTCAGGAGGGTGAGGTAGGAGAATCACTTCAACCTGGGAGGTGGAGGTTGCAGTTAGCTAAGACTGCACCACTGCACTCCAACCTGGGTAAAAGAGCGAGACTCCATCTCGAAAAATAAAATAAATAAAAAATACATAAATAAATAATTTGAAAATCTCATTTAAAATGTAATCACTGTAATAATTGTGGTATATGACAGCATAATCCACCAGTCCTTAAATGACTGAATAGTGATGTCGTGACCATCCCAACAGAGCAGCAAAAAGAAGGTAATGGTGTCTGGATTAGTTTGCTCAGGTTACCATAAGAAAATATTGTCAACTGCGTGGCTTAAAACAACATAAATGTATTGTCTCAGGGTTCAGGACACTAGAAGTCTGAAATCAAGGCGTCAGCAGGGTCATGCTCCCTCTGAGAGCTCTCAGGAAAGATCTGTCCAAGTTCTCTCCCCTTGCTACTAGTAGTTCTTTGGTGTGTGGCAGCATAACTCCAATCTTCACACGCACTCTCCATTTATAGCACTGATCCTGTGTATATGTCTGTG